AGGATGATTTTGTTTAACCTAATTGATGAATTTATTTTAAACATTTTTCCAAAAAGAACTTTTTTCTTCTAAATTTTTTCTTAACTTAGAAAAACATCATAATGTAATATCTTGAAAATCTAATTGAAAACAAGAATTAGAAAAGAAAGGTAAAGAAAGATAGACCCACACATACTAATTTGGATTCAATTAATCTACATCAAATTTTCATTTTTTCTGTCCAAAAGTTGGTTCCACTATCAACAAAAAGTTTGTATAATGCAAGACAAGTAATTCCAAACACTCAACTCAATCAACTCTTGACCCATTTAAGAGGATATCATAACCAAGAGGATATCAACCCTTAATAAACTCTAAATACTAAATAGGATATATGTTTTATCAACTCTTTAATCATCCAAAAAGATTTAATGTTGCAACACCTCTTTTTGCAAGAAGACAACAAACAACCATTCACCCACTACGAGTAAACAATAACCAAAAACCTAATGGAACACTCCCTTAGAACAATAACCAAAAAATAACTCTAGAAAATGCTCCAAAAACATATAAAGAGTGTTACCATAGCATAAACAACTCCAAGAACTTTGTAAAATCAACATAACCCTTTGTGTTACTTCGAAATCTTCGAAGCATTCAAAAATCATGTGTATAGCTTATAAAATCACCAATGTCTTAGCTCTATATGATTTGCAAATCTATAAAAAGATTTAGTCCTGAATATCTTTTATGGAGTTGTCAAACCACAATATTATAAGAGTTTTCAAACCACAAATTTAAAACTTTTTTTAACCGTTATCTTTGAATGTCTTAATCTATCAAATTTTTTAAATAAATTATAACGTTGCTTCTATATAATTGATTATCACACATTTTAATCGAGTAAACACACTTCTCATTCATTTTTCCTTAAAACAGTTTTAAATTAATTAAACAAGATCTTAATTGAATATTAATACTGAGAGTTTGGAAACACTTAAAACGCTCTCTAGATCAATTTGTTCTAAATCAATTTTTTCAATTTTGAAAAACTCTAAAGAAATATTTTAATTGATTAAGTATAGTCTAATAGATTAAAACTGCCAAAAAAAAAACATTAAGATTGGATTTTAATGTGGTAGCATTTTTTCTCTTATAATATAAATTGTATGCGTAAATTAAGAAATTTTGTGAGTATCTGTGTTTAAAAGACAAACATAACAAGAATTACACTTTTCTATATCATTGAATTCTCTTATTCAAGATCAACATTCTGTCCCTTTTAATAATTGATCCCATATTTAAAAGAAGATTCATAACCATACACCCACAATTTTAGTTTTCATAATTTTTTTTAATTTCTAACTGTGCTATTAGACGTCATCTTATATCTTTTAGGATAATAATGAGAAAGTATATAGAAAAGCTAAAATGTCACATTAACTATACTAATGGCAGAATATCATGTATGTATGTGTGTGTGTGTTATATATATATTATATATATATATATTAGCTATCATATCTAATTATATATATATAAAATATGTTGTTTGTGGAATTTCACATCTATTAGAGATAGGTCAATTCACAATATATAAGTGAGTGCAAATGTCACTTTACAAGGTCGAGTTTTTGTAAGGTTGAGTTAGAGCTTAAAATTCACTTCTTAATAGTATCAAAGCCATGAATTATAACTTACCCTAGTGAGATTTTTTGTTTATAGGATCTTTTGTTCCATTTGCTATCGGACCACCCATTAATGCATAGTTTACCAATGAATGTATATGCACTAGTGTAGAAAAGCCTTTAACAACGTCACCCTTTAGACGTTAAACAATCACAACCCTCGAATATCAATCGTAAAAAAAAAGGACGGTGGCATTTTCTAGTAAATAAACACCATATAGAACGTCTATTCCTGGAGGAAACCGACTTTCAAAGCCAGTATAGACGGCTATGTGGGGGAACAAACGTTCTAGTATACTCATTTTTTGAAATCTAAAAAGTCACTTTTGACATCCATTTAGACGTCAGATCCCGCTAATCCGACTTCTAAAGCCATATAGACGTCTGTTGTGGGGGAACAAACTTCTATATACTTATTTTTTAAATAATCGAAAAAGGGTCACTTTTTGACTCTATATTAGACGTCAGATCCCCGCCCAATACCGACTTCTAAAAGCCATATAGAACGATCTGATATGGGGGAACAGACTTCATATGGCTGCTAACACACTGCGAACGCAAGCAACAATTACGCGCACTTACATGTTCTTCATCTTCCTCATGTTTTCTCTCCATAGAATACGTTTTTCAGGTTCGTTTTTTAACTTTTTCACCGTTTAAAATTAGTTTTACTCCGATTACATTACTCTTTGATGAATTATCTTTCATTTAAATCGATTAAAATGCGATTTCGCTGGGTTTTGGTGCAGTCTTGCCGTGTCCTTGGGCGGCGTTCTTGGGCGTTGGCGGTGCGATTCTTGCGTTTTCCCACTCCTCTAATTCCCTCCACTATGTTTTTGAAATCATCCAATACAAAAAGCCGTCAATGTCACCCGTAAAGACGTCAGGTCGGGATCAGACGTAAAAATTCCAAAATAACAAACGTCTAAAGCCTTTTCTACACTAGTGATGCCTCGACATGAGAGAGATAGGTTGGAAGTCTCCATTAACTAAAGATAAAACTAATCAAATATATATAAAACGAGTGTAAACCTCACGTTACAAATTAGTTGAGTTAGACTTAAAGTTCACTTTATCGAATAATATAAATAAAGAATCAATCTTTTACTTTTACACTTTTAACAATTTTGAAGATAAAAGTATTTGTTTAAAATTAAAAATAGTGTATAAAAACTTTGAGATCATTGTGACAATCAAAAGTGATTATTCACTCTAAAATGGGATATCTAAATAGTATTTTATATTGCATGATGCTTTAATTATTTGAAAAATTGAAAAGGTTATTGTTGTGGTCGAAACTAAAGAAAATTGCTAACTGCTAATTGGATGGTCAACACTTGAATTATTTGATTCAAGTAAAGTATGCCATAATAGTGAGGTGATGTATTTTGGGAAAATGCATGGAAGCATGGTTAGTAATACAAATTCATATAGTATTTCACCTAACCTTCGGATCCTGCTGCGATGGCTAGCCTAGCCTATAGTATTTTACCAGGTAGTGGAATTGGTTTTTGCTTTTGGTCGAAGAAAGGGACTTGGTTAAAGAGTATTTACGAGAATTCGCAACTTGACTTGGGAAGTTGACGTGGATTGAAAAGAGACAACCCTGCCCAAAACAATATAAATACAAGGACAACCTAAGAGAGATTGAAAAGCCCTTATCACTAAGGAAACCATACATAAATCCTCTCATTTTTTTCTCCCTCTGTGTTGCCTCCAAAATTCTGGAACAAGGAAAGGGAGGAATAAACCTTGCTCAAAATAGTTCTATTTTATTATCATCAATCATATCTGAGTCATTTTGAAACTCTTCATTGTATCAATCTTAGTCACAATGGCAACATTTTTCCGAAGAATGGCGATCAGATATATTTTTCTGACATTGTTTTTCTCTGCAGGTGCCTTCTTTTTCTCATGCAGTTTATGCTTTCTTTTCTACTTTTTATGCATTGCATGTTTTTAGTTTTTGTGTTTTTTAGCATTCCTAAGTTGATAGCATTGGTTTATAGAAGTAGAACAGGTTTGGTTGCCGTGAATGTTTCTTGGTAGAGTAACGAATTTTGCTGATTTTGCAACCACAGATATTGGATTTCTTGGACGTGTTACATCATTTGGAATCAATTACGGCCAAGTGGCTAACAATTTGCCGTCACCGAACAAAGTGCTTGAACTCTTCAGCAACCTTAAGGTCACGAAAACAAGAATTTATGACACCAATCCGGAGATTTTGAGTGCTTTTGCTAAATCAAACGTTGAGGTCATTGTGACAGTAGAAAATCAAATGCTAATCCAGTTAAATGACCCCCAACAAGCCCTTCAATGGGTGAATGGCCATATCAAACCGTACCTTCCAGACACAAAAATCACTGGTATTCAGGTAGGAAATGAGTTATTCACTAATGGTGATACCACTCTTATTCAGTATCTAGTACCTGCAGTGGTTAACATTCACAATGCTCTAGTTCAGCTAGGCATAGACTCTAACATCCACGTTTCAACACCAAGTTCCTTAGAAGTGCTTCAGGAATCTTACCCTCCTTCAGCTGGCAGTTTCAAAAATGAGATCTCTGGGATAATGTCCCAGTTTTTGAGCTTCTTGTCCACCACTAAGGCACCCTTTTGGATCAATGCTTATCCTTACTTCGCTTACAAGGATGACCCTAGTAGGATTCCATTGGACTATGTATTATTTAATCCTAATGAAGGAATGGTTGACCCCAACACCAACCTACACTATGATAACATGCTTTATGCTCAGGTAGATGCTGTCACATTTGCCATTGCTAGATTGAACTTTAGTGGGATTGAGGTAAGGGTCTCTGAGACTGGTTGGCCATCCAAAGGAGACCTTAATGAGGTCGGTGCCACACTACAGAATGCTCAAACTTATAATAGAAATTTGCTGAGAAGGCAAATGGCAAATGAAGGGACACCTCTGAGTCCAAGAATGAGGTTGGAAGCATACTTTTTTGCATTGTTCAATGAAGACATGAAGACAGGAGCAACCTCTGAAAGGAACTATGGCCTATTTCAGCCTGATGAAACCATGACATACAATGTAGGGTTGGCTGCTTTTGCATCCTCATCCACTTCATCCACTTCAATTTCTCTTACCTCCTCTGCAACTAACACGAAGGTAAAAGTAAAACCAGTCTCTTTTTTCTCCCCCAGCTTATGGCAAAACTCGTATGAAAGAAAATGAAAATGTAGTTTATACAATTGGGAGAAGTGTATCAGTTTAAAAGGGGTTTTGTATGTAATGTCAGATAGTCAAATTCATAATCACAACTTTTAGCAGAACATTTTCAAATTTACTACTGTCGTGTTCTTAGTTAGTTAGTAATTGGTGCATTCTCACGAGTGTCGGTCTAATTATCTTTTTTTTTTCTTTTTTTTCTTTCCTTCTCTAAAAAAATCAAATTTTACATTGAAGCAGGCAGCATCAAAGGAATTTCAAAGCTTGTTCTTCTGGGTGTTTGTGTGTTTGCTGACTTCAGCCCTTTGTGGCTTTGTTTGAGAAGAATATTATTACATTCTTATGGAGTGATTCATGTGTATATATCAAAATAACGAAAAGTTGGGATTTTACAACCTTCAAGTTGCAAAATGGAGTATCTCTAGTATGATCTATATTAAAGGTACCTATTTTGCAGAAATCAGGAGCAACACTAACACTTTCTTAACAATGGGGCAACAAAATCTGCAACACGGCGAAGAGTTCAACTCATTTGGAGGATCATCATCACCTTTCACTGTGGCTTCACTTTCACCCACTTACCCCACCACTAGTCACATTCCAGCAACAACCATGTGGCGGTGACGTTAGGTTGAGCTTGTTTTAGATAGATAAGGTCCAAAAGCCACATCATTTTTTATTACCTGACATTATTTGGAATTGTCAAATAGGAAATGTGTTTGTATATTGCTGGTTTTGTACCATTTATTTCATTTCATTCATCCAGTCCAAAGGCATATGAGGCTGTAAGACATGTCTGCCTTGAGCTCGTCTAATTGGATGCTAAGAAAAGCCCCCTGTTATGGGACGTGGAATCCATGACTGTTCTCATTTGTATATATAAATGTAAAAGTAATTCCTGATACACCATTCTTTTCTCTGCTTTTCCTCTTTCATCAACTTGTGTATTGTATCACAGTACAAAGTTCATTACAAATATGATATAATGAAAATCTAATTAAAGTTCACAAAGTTAAGGCTTTGTTTGCTTCTTTTATTATCCTCATTCGGACAATAGGACGGTCCTGCTTTATTCCATGGCCAAATAACCGTCAGCATAGGGTCATTGCCGACCCCTTTTCCAAAGGTGCCTTTATCAGTTTTTTTTTTCTATTTTAAAGGGGACAATTAAACTTCAGCCTTATCAGAACATGATGGAGATTGGTCTAGCTCTTTGACATCAGTGAAGGTGGTTCTGCACATGAACCCCTCAAATTCTCTAGCTGACCCACCACCCTCATGTGAGAAAAAAACAATTATTTTTCTTTTGGGGCGTAATAAAATATGCAAGGACAATTTGCAAACAAATCCCACCCAGAATTTTTGCATCGTCATGGTCTTGAGGTACTCAACATTCTGATTTAAAATTGCTTCCTGCAGACAATGTGATGGCAGCAGCAGTTTCGCTTTTTATCAATTTTGATTGTAAGTCCAATCACCAACGCGACATATTCCAAGAAGGGGTCCCATCTCTTAATAATTTCAGCGAGTGCTTCACCGAGTTAGAATTGGAAAATTTGTTGTCCTTGCATACACTTTCATGTTGTTTACTGCGTTCAATTATAATGTTGTGTGGTAAGTAAAATTGTCGGTTTTCTATTTCATCGTATGTTCTCTGTTGTCTGTGTTGTTGTCTGAACTGTAATCATAGAGTGTTAAGTCAAAATCTCTATTGCTCATGGCCCTCCTGAATTTTAAGGGGCAACGGCGAACATAACTATCACCATGATTAAAAGCTTGCCTATAAATTGTAGCCATTTTTCATTCTTTTCTTGGAATACAGACTGGTTTTCATTATTTCAATGTACGTGTTTACCTTAGGTGGCTCACTAGGGGATCTCCACGTGTCAATTTTGCCATAACATGGCATCATCATCTGAAACCTTAGTGCAGCATCAAAAGCCTCGAATGTAGCTTGGAACAAGAGCACCCCAAATGTACGATTGTAGTAGAGCTCTTTAGCTACTTCTCTCTAGAACAAAGAAATACATGAAAATATAATCAAATCACGTAAGTGGCTGATGTCCCCTCTTTTTGGTTTGTGATGAAGCAATGACCACCAAGGAACACAAAACAAAATGAAAATCGTAATCACTCACAATCTGTTTAATAATACTAAAAACAATAATAGTGACAGGCTCTACAACCATTGATTAGGCTAGCACAGTCCCTCCAACCAACCCCAGTGGCACTTGCACCATTACGTCTGGTATCGTTGTTTCTTCTATATTATAAATGTTCCACTGGCTCTGGTTAATTCCAATGCGGTTCTTCCTCTCGAAAAGCCATTGCAAATCATCAAAAAGAATCATATATCTGAATAACTAACCAAATAACTTTTGAAACAAATTGTTATCCCATAATGATGTCACTTTCAAGTTTTACTGAGAAATGAAGCTTCAAAGTAATGTCAAAACTTTTACAATGACCTTTACCGCATCGTATATCGTATATGTCTGATGACATCTTCACATGCATATGTTCTCAAACCTCGATCATGAACCATAGCGGTATGGTCGACTACATATTACCGAGGACAAAAGATATATGAGCTAGATATACTCAGGAGTAATCAACTCCAAGGGTCTAACCACGAACCATAGCAGTATGGCCAGCTACATTTCGATCCGTAGATTTAACATATAGAAAGTCTACTTAAGGTCATAATTAAAATACTATTAAACAAATGGATTAACCAAAGACTAATCAAGGTAATTAGTCATGAGCCAAACCAATCCAAGTAAAAATTCCATAAATATAATATAAATAGCACATAATACAAGGTAAATTATTACATTTATTTATTACAATAATAATTACATTCTAAGGCATTTGACTGACTTGAGTGTCGATGTGTTTCCTACAAACGTAACCCCCTACTTGGCTAGGAGAGGATGAGTATCTTGAAGAGAATGAATACCCTTGAATTTGAAGGCTTGGAGCTTTTTTAGTGTTTATTGACATTTCCGCAAGATATATTTGGCTTTGTAAGAATAATTGACACCCACTATAGGACCGACATATATTCATTGAAGAAGAAGAAGGTTTTTATGGTGTCTACATGAAGTAAGATGGTAGGCTGTTAAAGCCACTGTCTTGGAAAATCAGATGAAACTGCAACAGAAATTTGTTGAGTTCAAGAAAAGGAGTATTGATCATATGGATGCCTCGAGGCAGGAAAATGTATGGATGAGAAGGAGGGTCAAGCCCAAAGGAACAACTCACAAGGGGAATGAGAAGGAAATTCCTGATAACATGAACTCGGTGCAGAAAACTCCACCTCGTGTCACCGATATGTGGAAGTAAGGAAGAGAGTGAATACAATCCTACTCCCAAAACAAACAACTCCTTGGCAGCAGGAGAATTCTCGACATCTATCTGTACATGGTACCGTGGATACCACCCTCCCTCCGTGGATGGTATCATGGATACCCCTCTCCCTAAGTAGCTGAAGTCCCTTACTTTGGACCGATTATAATGGTAGCACATCATTGCCTATACCACTCAAGTCGGTTTGTACATAACTAAAAATGTTGTTTTGTGCAAAGCTTTTGTGAGAACACTGAATGGTTCACCTGCCTCCCAATATTCCATCCACTACTTCGATAGGTTGGTGTTATCCTTTATTATGTAGCTTTCCAAAGTTAACATCAACACCTTACTTCCTTGGCACTTCTTAACGACATGCAAGAGAAGGGGGAGTCTCTACAAAACTTCATCGATAGGTTTAGCAAAGTGACTTTGAAGATCAAGAACTTGAATCCTGAAATGGTTCTGCATTATTTGATCATAGCACTAAGGTTGGGTCCCTGTTGTGAATGGTTTGTGCATGATGTTGCCCACAAGTATGAATGAGCTAAGGTGTGGGCTGCCAAGTTCTTGCAGCTAAAAAAAGCAAGAGATCATAGGAACAAAATAAGAATCGAGACCATGTGGATCAAAAGGGATCGATCGAGACTCAACGTCGAAGAGTAGGTTTTACTAGAGGAAGCCTAAACATACTCGGTTCACGCGTTACACCTCCTGAACACACCTAGGTCTTGTATGTTGAAGGAAGCGTTGCAGGTGAATCATATACCACCTCTTAGGAAAGCCAAAACATCATTCAATGTCAACATGAAAATGCATTGTTGGTACCATTGCAGCTATAGCCACACGATTGATAAGTGTGTTGAACTTAAAGACAAATTTGAACCCTAAAATGTTTATGAAACGTGACAATGAGAGTAGCTCACGATCTAGTTATCGAAGGTACAATGACTGAAGAGAAGGTAGAAGAGATAGAGAAAAAGAAGATACAAGAGAAGAACCAGCTCAACGCAAGGATAGGCGTTTCTGATGTCATACCTCCCTTGAAAGGTACAATCAATATTATATTCGGAGGGTTCATTGGAGGCAGATCTTCATCTTCATCCAAAAAGACACATATGAGGGTCGTCCAGTCAATTAATGCAATATCTTGGAGCTTTAGGAGAAAGAGGATACCTCTGTTGGTATCGCACAGCAGAATGTTTAGTGTGGAAAGTGTGTTAATGGTCAATAGCCAAGATAGGAACGGTGAAATGGTTCTTTTTAAAATCGTGATTTTCTTTTAGGACTTTCAACAAACAGTTGGTGAATAAAAGTGTAGAGTAAGAAAAAATCACACAAAGTATTTTATCCTGGTTCAAATCAAAAGATTCTAAGTCGTTAATCACTATAAACAGTGATTAACTTTTTCACTAAAATATTGTTCACAATTACGATTAGATGGAATAAAGAGTAATAACAGAAAACACATTCCTTCGACAAACGAATGGAAGAACCTGCTCAATCAACTTGAAGAGAACCGCTTCGACCTTAGACCCACTAAGCACAAGCGTCTCCTATTCACAAGACTTAATATGAGCACACCAACACTTGAGAATTTCTCAAACAAAATTTTGTATTCTTAAATGACTTAGTTAAGCCTCAAAGAGGTTTGGCAAAGAGTATATATAGCCCAAAGGTTAGAAACTGAAAAGATAACTCCCAACTGACAGTGATAATCGATTATTTGTGTCCGTTATGAGGTTTTCAAAAAGAGATAATTGATTATCCTAAGGAATAATTAACTATTTGCGCGGCTTAGGCAATACTGACTCACACTGGAATAATTGATTATTTTGAGAAATAATCGATTTTTTGCATGAGTAACTCTTTTTCAAATGAGCTTGTGATAATCGATTATTACACCAAATAATCGATTATCTACGCAAACATTCTAAACACAGGAAAACTTCTAACTGTTTACATCAACAAAGTTATTCCTATTATAATTTATTCTACAAAAATGCTTTAAAAATAAATACAACAAAAGTCTTCAAATCTAATCTTGTAACATTTGATATATAAGTTCAAAATGCTGACAAGAACAAATTTATTTGTCATCCCTATTAATTACACCATGTTTTTTTTTATTCACAATGTTAGTTATTAGTAATTTGTTAATAGAAAGAGTTAAATCTATAATCTTTTTTGTCCTCAGTTCCAAGTCCTTTAAACTAATCTTATAACTTTCAAATATTAACGGACAAAGTGAACCCACAATCTCTCCTACCACAATTATATATATATATATTTATATATCTATATATATAATATATATAATATATATATGGGGTTTGCTAACGCGCGTACCTGTTTTTTAGTGGTTACATTTTAGCAATGTGTACCGAATTTTAGTAGACAAAAATATCCTTATATATCATGATTCTAGTTTTAAGGTTAAGGGTATTTTAATAATTTTCATTCTCAAAAAAAAAAAAAAAAAGAAACCCCCAAACCCTTACTCACATTTCTCATTCCTCTAAACCCTTTCTCTTTCATCTCTTTCACTCCAACATTTTGGATGACAGAGAAAAGGTTGGAGTGAGAGATGAAAGAGAAACGGTTTGAAAGGAACGAAGGAGGTGAATAAGGATTTGGAAGGAATACCATATTATATATATATATATATATACTATATATATATATATGTAATTATTTTTTATATTGAGTTACGCAAACACTTATTTTCTGTCGATAAAAAATAATGGTAAAAATGAATTTTAAAAACCGCTCGAGTGGATTAAATGGGATAAAAACAGCTATGGTTTAAAAATGAACTATAGAACCAAAGTGAAAAAATGGCATATGATCCGAAACAGTCTTCTAAGAATGAAATAAAGAGAAGAAAGATATCATAAAACATGACCAGGGCACAAAACACAGGACAATTTTAATTTTTCCACTGTTAGATTACTTGTACTGAGATTTTGAGCATAAAATCCAGTATTATAGTTGGAAAGCACGCAAAGAGCAGATGAGAACAAGAAATGAAAAACCGATTTAAAGTGCCTTGGTTGAGACTTGTTTTACTTCAAATGTCGTACATAGACAGCTCTAAACTTGATTCAAATGAAAACAGAATATCTATAAATTTTACAATTAGAAAATTTTCATTTACAAGCATTAACAAAAATATCACTTTCATTTTATACTATATTCATGTTTTGTTCATTTGATACTATATTCATGTTTTGTAATTTCACAACCAAAAGTATTTTATATCAACACTACCTAACTTTACAAAAAGTTATTCTCGAAACAAATATTTCCAAACATGAACTAATTCAGTCATATTCATTTTTAACTAAAATCAAAGTTATCTAAAATTATGTATACAAACTCTAATCTAAAGGGACGCCTAACAGACATTTCATAATTAACCATGGGGTAGTAAATGGTGAAGGAAAACGAAGAAATCAATCACAAAGCAGTACGATTCTAACGTGAAACTTAATTTTGACTCCAACGACAACTGCTCTCAGAGCATTTGCTCTCGATTGTCCCAGAAGTGGAACAATATGAAATTGCCAGCTCTTATGACCCCTAGCCCAAGTGCCCAACTATTATTAAAAAACCAGACTAATGAAGAACAGCACAATACAGAGAAAGAATTGCACAGGTCACAATTTGTCTTGCTATGATGCATCAGTTTTAAAACTTAACCTATGCCACTCCAACATACTTATTCAGTGAACATAAATCGTACTAACAACACGGATAAATATTCTTCATTTTTTCAGTCAGAAACGATAACAAGTGTGGCATTATTTTCTTGAAGCCAACAGTTTTAATACCCTCCACTCTTCTTATTCCACCACTCCAGAAACTTCACCTCCGCAGTCAATGTGTCTACCCTGTAAAGTTGAAGAGCATGATTTGCGATTTCATGTCCAAAAGTCCAACCAAATATACCTCCGGCTAAAAATGACAATCCAGCGCCTGTTCAATATTATGGGGAAATGTAAAAGATTAACAATGTATATGAAACAGTTAGACACTACTTTTATCACAAAAGACCTACATAAAAATTCTTGTACAAAATATTATAAAACCAATTTCGAATGTAAAACATATTAAGTGTAAAAATGAGCAAGAATGGCGCCTGCTTTTGCTTACAATATGATACCAAATTATGAGCTATCCAGAAGCACATCGAAGTAGAAAAAAATTTAAGTAGTATGACAAATGGTAGATTACCATGTAAACTCCTTGAATATTTCCAGGCATAGCCAGCAGTAAACAATGCTCCCAAAGCACTTCCTCCGATGCCAAATTGCACTGCCTCCCTGGCACTTTTCAGCTGAAATGGGAGAAAGGACTTCAGGTCATAGCTATCTTGAAGTAAAAACTCAATCAACCATGTACTCTAGTAGGTGAAATGTTCATATTTTTGAAAATGCAGGAAATGATAACAGGCACAGACAGTTAAATTTTACAGCCAGAGTTGATGCTATAAACAGAAAGGGGTTAGCAACAAAGGTTTGCCGCCATTTGCCATTTACTTAATGTGCTCCAACACGAACAATGACATATGAAACAGAACAATATAATTTGTCCATCATGGTATTGTTTTATACAATATCCGTTTTTCTCTCTTTGGGGGAGGCTCAAGGTTTCAAGGGAATCACTTGACTCTTTTGGACTAATACATCACAAACACCCAAAGGTAGATAAATGTTGTCATGTCTGGTGACTAATGACATTATGACAACAATGCATATTAGCAAAATTGATGAATGATGAAACGCAATTACCACCATACTGATGTCTAGAGGGCATCCAATTGATGGAAAACTCTATTATGTTGAAAGGGAAAACATTTGAAAAAGACAATTAATGGCCTGTCGAAAAAATTTTAGATAGACTTGGGAGATAGACCACCTCTAAGGTATGAGTTGCTCATGTAAAAGAGAATACATCACTTCCAACATAAAACCTTAAGGCTTAATGTTTATGGATCTTATTTTTCTTTTATACCACTCATCTTGTTCATTTCTACTCAATGTAGCACTTTCAACTTATAGATGGATTCCTAACAGTCTATCCCACAAGTGTGAGTTGGGGTTTTACTATAACTTTCTACCACAATAGGATATACTTGTCCCACTCATTTATCTCAACATACTTTCACTAACCCTTGGCTCTAATACGACCATTGGAATCTGATAGATTGGAGAGATGGACCATTGAGTTCCCCATATAAGAGACTTGATACACTTCCAACATAAAACATTAATGCTTAATGTTTATGGGTCTTGTTTTTCTTATAAGCCACTCAACATTTTTATTTTTTCTCAATGTGGGGCTTTCAACTCTTACTTGAATTCCTAACATGACCAACTCAAGATTGAATAGATTAGAATGAAGCATCCCAAATCCCAATAACTTAAAAGGAAATTAAAGTTTTTTCTATAGCTACATGCAATAGTGACGATTAAATCTGTCTATGCCTAAAAGTGTCACGGCCATTGATTGTTTGTGAGTGATTCTATTTAACATATCATCAAAATTACTTGTGTAAGTCAGGGAGTTTAAATGATTATATAGTTGTGACAAAAAATACTGAAGATTGCAAAGTGGCACAGCCAACCTAGCAGAACATGGATGAGAATGGAAAATAGATAGGTATTGATGCTACATTAGAGCTGCTGGTGAAATAACACCTCTCATTTTAGGTTGTTTCAAGGGGATCACCTCACCAGTTGGGTTGGAAACCCATCCAGTTGTTTGACTACTTCAGTTCATAAGAATCACAACCAATCATGTATGGACAAATGCTATGTCTAGTGGATGATGCCATTATGACAATAATGCATATTAGCAAAACCAACGAATGATTAGAAAGAGATGACCATCATAATAATATCTGTTGACAGAAGAACTCTAACATATTGAAAGGACAAACTTTAGAAAAACTTGGTTAGTTTAACGCCCAACTCAAAATTGAGTATATAACAAGAAATTTGAACCAATCGGACAAACACATACTAACTAGCTTCCTATATTACAAATTGAGTATCCTAATAACTTCAAAAGAAACCTGAATTCATTGAGGTATTTGGTAACAATTATTTCAGGGAAAAACATAATTTTTTTTAAGTGGCATAAAAAAGTAATTGTTTCGTCAACTCCAAGAAAGTTGAACCAATCCAACAAACACATTAACTAGCTTCCTATAGTTGTAATGTAACTATCGAATCTGTCAATGCCTAACAATGCCTTTATCATTGATTATAAGCTGGGTTTAGAATTATGATCCACAATTAATGGCAAGCACGTGCTTTAGTGTCATTTCACTAAAACAACATTACCCAATACCAAGAATTACAACATCAGGAACCAAACTAAAACATGCAGTGCACCAAATGATAAAATTCCAAACTAAAAATAACCAGGCACACTTGAGAGAACACACTCATCAACAATAACAATAGCAAAGAGCACCCGACTAAACATCCGAGACTAAATATAAATAAATATCACAGAAACTTTAGGTTATGATCTAGAAACACAGAAGACGATGTAAACATTCAACATAACAAGACAACGAAAATGAAAAACTAAAGGACGCAAATGTAGATGATAAATTGAGAGAAACATTACAACGGGTCCATGAACAGGATCAGAAGCGATAAACTCCTCGACGTCAGAGCTGGACCAGGAAGGGATGGGTTTATCACGCTTGATGAACTTTGAGTAGTTTTCCAAAAAGGAAAACCTCTCTGACCAAAACTCCTTGTAACCTTCCCAATATGACTGGGATGACGAACCTTGCGAATTGTCTGCCATCACCCCCCTTTAACTTGAATCCCTCTGCAATAACCAGTGAAATTAAATTCAGCACACAAGATTAATAACTGAGTCAAGTAAAATTTTATTGTATACTCGAATCAAGTTTAGCAAGTCCAAAAACACTTTTTTCTGTAACTATTGTTTTTTTCTCCCTTTCTCAATGGCTGCATTAGAATTAATTACAGCTTCGTACAATCTACGCAGGATTTCTTTAAAAAAAATCATTTGCGTGAAAGTCAAACTCCTGATCGAAATCGAGAAAATTAAATCCATTATAGAAAACAGAATCGAAACCGTTCGGCAATTGCATGATAATTTCGACAGTAATAATACAAAAGAGACAAAAAAAAGGAGAAAACATAATACTAGAGATGGTTATAATTATGATGAAATTGATGATATTGATGGATCAGAGATTGAATTAAGTAAAGAAAGAGTAGAAATTGGAGAAGGAGATGAAAAGTGCGATACCGAAGTTGCTGGAACAGTTACGCTGAGGAAGAGGTTACGCAGTCGTTTTCCAAAGGCAGTGATTTATTTAGGTTTTACGAGCTAAAGCTCAGACAACACAGCAATGTTCATTTATGTTTTCCGATCTACTTTACGTCATATTTTATTTTTCTTTCAACAAAATTACGTCATTTATTATTTTTATATTTTTTTATTACTTTCCCAACTTATTCTATTAAAAATAATTTATAAAACATTTTGGAGAGAAAATATTATAGCATTATATACATCATAAATATACATCAAATTTAAATTTAGGTGATTTCAATTCTCAAAAAAGAGATTAATACCGGTCTCATTTTAAAGAACGCTTAAAGATGTAACAATCCTAAAAATAAAATTTACCTTTTATGCTTAATAAACTTGTAATATATATAGATATAATATATATATATATATATATATATATATTATATATCTATATATATATATATATATATATATATATGAGTTTGCTAACTTGATTTTATTGGAGGGTATTTTAATAATTTTCGTTATAAAAAAGAAAGAAACCTTCAAACCTTTGCTCATTCTTTCATCCTGAACATTTTCTCTTTTATCCTTTGCGCATTCTCTCATCCTCTCAACTCTTTCTCTTTTATCTTTCTCACTCCAACATTTTCTCTGTCATCTCTATGCTAGTCCCAATTGAAAAATCAGAAACACTCGTCTAACCTTAATCTACCTTCCTCACTTGTTCAATTTGTTTCTCTCTCATCTCTATACTTTTCCTCACCGCAATTTGTTGCTCTTGCTATGTTCGTTCATTGTTTTCAGTATATAAAAAAATTAAAATTGAGATGTGATGATTGATTGTTATTGGAGAGCTGTTGTGTTATATATTTTCCCTTCTGATTATTATTAAATTTCATTTTTAAATTTTAGAATTTTTGTGTTACAAAATCCCCTCTGCAGGCACCATCGTCGATAAGCAAAGATCAAAAATCAAACCAAGTTTAGCCAATTCAAAAATAAGTCAGAAGAATGCTAATGGTAAATAAAACCTTTAACTTTACAAATCACAAAAGCAAATTGGATAAGTGAAGAAGGTAGATTAGGGTTAGACAACTGTTTTTGATTTTTTTCAATTGGGACTAGCATGGGGATGACAGAGAAAATGTTGGAGTGAGAGAGATGAAAGAGAAAGAGTTGAGAGGAATGAGGGGTGAGCAAGGGTTTGGGTTTTTTTTTTAGTTTTGAGAATGAAATTATTAAAATACTCTTAATCTTATAACTTAGAATCCATGATATATTAGGGTATTTTTGTCTATTAAAACCCGATACACATTGTTAAAATGTTCCAACTGAAAAACAGACGTACGCAAGTTAGCAAATCCATATATATATATATATATATATATTAAGTTATTATATATAAATTAGGTGAGTTCAATTCTCAAAAAAGGAGATTAATACCTATCTCATTTTAAAGAACGTTGTAGGTATTTAATACCTTGGGTAAGAGGTACCCGTGGGTAGCGGGTATTTTAATACACGCGTGTTAATGGGTCGGGTTCCGTTAGCACACTATTCATATTCGCTAGTACTTGTTACTCGTTTGAATAATAAAATTACCATTTTATCCCATTAGTTTTCTTTTCTAACTATTTAATTTTCTATAAAAATTGGCCAAAACCCAAATCCTTTTTAGGGTTTTTTCTTCAAATCAGAATAAGGAAAAAAAGTTGTTCCCGTTTCTTCTCATCCACAGGCTGCCATGAAACCCTAAGGAGATGCCTCCATTCTTCCCATTCCTTCCTCACTAATTATATTTTCCCACGTGTTTTTCCAAAAATGCAAAAAATCTCTCTTGCTCTCAAAGATGTTGCCTTTCTTCTTCCCAAAACCATAAAAGCCCCAAAGTTTTGCTTCGAAATCGTCTAGGATTCGTCCTCTCTCACCCTTACGAACAAGTGATAACGGTTGAAAAACCATTATTTTTATAGTTAATTTTGATATTAAAAACACCCTTTTTGGACTTAGAAGCTTTGCTTGAACTACATGTTATTGCTTAGTTTTTTTTCAATAAGAGAGTTGAAGGTGAATTTAATGGGTTTTGTGTTAGATTTCTGTGATTTTGTAGGTATTGCAATGATTTGGAAAGAAGAGTTAAAAGTACCGAATGGTTGGATGGAATGGAATGCAAAAAAAGTCCAACTAGAAAGTAGAAAAGTCAAACCAGAGTGCAGAAAAAAGTCAACTAAAATACAGAAAAAGTAACCACTCAACCAAAGTGCATAAACGTCAATCAGAGTGCAGAAAAAGTTGCGTTGAGCGCCAAATTCCACTGAGCGCCAGTGCCGCAGTTACCGCTGAGCGCCAAAATTCTGTTATTTTTATGTTCTATTTAAGGACTTGCACATCTTAGGGATGATATCTTTTGATGGCTTAAGCACAGAAACACACTTTTCATCCCTTAGGGGTAGATTTGGGGATGCGGGAGTCTCCTCTTCTCTTTCTAGGGTTTTTCTATCTCTTCCATTCTTTCATTCCATTGTTCATTACGTCTGCTATGACGAGGAGAACTAAACCTTATTTGTTGTTGGGAAAGATGTATCCTCTTAAACTTTCATGTATTGAATTGATTCTTGATTATATATGTTTTACTTTATTAATTGTTAGGGTTTTTCCTCTTTCTTTGCATGCTTTGTTTAACTTATTCAATTGCATGATCTTTGATTTTGTCGATATGGACACATTCGGGGAAATCTAGAAACTGGAAGAAATTCTGCCGGACGCAATAGTTACCTAGGACACTGAATAGAGGGATTCGATTGCCTTTAGCTTCTGCGAATGTAAATGAATGATTAATGCTAGGGAGACAAGACATTGTGAACTAGTGATTTTAGTCTTAGCCTTTCTTCACGAGACATCGAGTTTAGGTTAAGAGAAAGTGGACTTAACATTAATGAGAAAGATGAATTCATTATGCATTGAGAGTAAATTAGGTGGAATCTAAACCCAACAACAATATCCTCAACTCATCCATTCATTCTTGTGTTTAGACCAATTGATCAAATTGCCTTATGTTATTTTTGCATTTGCATTCAAAAAACCCAAAATTGCCTCTTTAAAGTCTTAATTCGTTGAGTAGGGCATGAAGCAAAGAACAGTGAGGCCCGGAGGCGCGTGGGGAAACGAGACGGGGCGGATCAGGTAGTAGGAAGGGAGAGAGTCGGGAACTTGGTCGGGGTCGTAACAAAGGGGGGACCCAGGGTCGGGGATGAAAAAGGGGGTGATCAAGGGGGGGCGATGGACTCGGGGATAACTAGGATAGGGGGGGAGGCGTAACCGAGGATGACGGTAGGTAGTCTGGTTTTGATCGGGGTAGCGGGGGAGGGGGGGGATCGGGGTAGCGGGTATCGGGGGATCTGGGGAGCGGGGGATCTGGATCGGGGTAGGGGGTATCGGGGTATCGGTATCGGGGTATCGGGTATCGGGTTGGGAGGGGGGATCTGGGATCGGGTATAGGGTATCTGGTGTATCCGTGTCATCGGGTGGTATCGTATCTCGGGAGAGTCTCATCGTTTGAGTCTTGGCATCTGTGAGGGTTTGCATGCTTGGCATCTTCATCGGGTCATCGGGGTATGCGGTCTATGGGGCGTCTTTCTATCTTTCTATCTTTCTATCTTTCATTTTGTTATCGGTGTATGTGGTATGCTCTTCATTTGTTCTTTGTAATTTTTTTATCTTCTATCCTTTATAGCTCTTCATCTGTTTATCTTGTTAATTTTTTATTTGTTTGTGCTAATTGGGTGCTTAGTGCGTGTTCTTTAGTGTGTGCGAGGATTAGAATTCGAAAATATGTACTAGGAGCCACAGATCATCAAGAGAAGGAGAAAGAAAGAGAAAGAAGGTCACAGGGCATGCCTAGGCCACAAAATTTTCATTGCGAAGTCAATTGTGTCAAAATCAATGACAGTAAACATAAGAGAAGCCAAGAGCACGTGGGTGGTGAACAAGACATGCATCTGACACAACACATGTTACTGAAAGGTGCTGAAAACTCTCATGTTGCTCAAATAAATATCATCACATCTGATTTGTCTTAGCCAACTCATGGTTCTTGTAATATAAAAGATTAAAAGTATTTGGATTTTTGACCTCAAGAGCAATTGACCATTTGTCTTGCTCTCTAAACAATTCTTGTCACATAAAACCACCAAAAACATACCTATGCATCTTCCAAATAATTCAAAGGTTACTGCAACTCATATTGGTGGAGTTAAACTTAATGAGAAACTTATTTTAGATGATGTTTTTTATGTTCCAGCTTTTGAGTATAACTTGATCTCCATTTTTAAGTTTGTTTCTGGTCTAAATGTTGAGATTATGTTTTCATCTAACTTGTGTGTGGTTCAGGATTCCAACACGGAAAGGGATATTGGTATTTAGGATAAATCTCAAGTCAAGTTATATATGCTTTTCCAATGTTGAGAAATATGTGGTCCTTAAGGGAAAAATCTTCATTTGTAATGGTTTGAACATAAACTTATGCATGATAGTGTTAGGTCATCTCTCTAACAATAGATTGAACATTTGAAACAAAAATATCTTTACATTTATAGTGGCACAAACTAGTACATGTGATCCTTGCAATTTTGTAAAACAGAAAAATTGCCTATTCTTACTAGTACCACTTTTGGTTAATCATCCCTTGATGTTGTTGATGGTTATTTGTGATCTACATGGATATATCTTATGACTAATAAATCTAAAACACGAAAAACACCTCCTTCATTTTATTGCTCAGATAAAAACCAGTTCAACAAAACTATAAAATAATATAAGGAGTGACAATGGAGTTGAATTTAGCATGAAAGACTTCATGATGCTAAGGGACTTATACACCAGACCACCTAAGTAGAAACTCCCGAGCAAAAATGGAGTGATGGAGAGAAAGTGTCAATACCTCATGAATATGACTTGTGCCCTACTCTTTAGTCTAGTGTGCTTTCTTAATTTTGGTCTTTTGTTGTTTTATATGTTGCATGCTTAAAAAAGGTTACCCCTTCTCCTTTTCTGAATGATTTTTCTACTTTTGAGATAATGTACAACAACAAATGTGATTTAAACCACATCAAGGTCTTTACTTGTCTTT